TCAACATTATTCCCATCATAGCGAAGGCAGACACTATATCCAAGAGCGAGCTTCAAAAATTTAAGATCAAGATCATGAGTGAACTGGTCAGCAATGGTGTTCAGATCTACCAGTTCCCAACAGATGATGAAGCTGTGGCTGAAATAAACTCTTCTATGAATGTAAGAGAAGCTTGGGTAAAAATATATGTCATAATATCAGATATGATGTTTTGCTATTGATCCGAACAGACACACACTATATGCTCTTATACTGGCATCTTTAATGTTGAGCCAGTGACTTGTGTTGCAGGCACATCTTCCTTTTGCTGTGATTGGAAGCAGTGAAGAGGTTAAAATTGGGAACAAAATGGTGCGGGCCAGACAGTATCCGTGGGGAGTGGTGGAGGGTAGGTATTGCTGCTAATAGTATATAAAGATATTTATCATTGTCTTACTTTTAGACAAAAAATGATAAATTGGGCAATGCTGTATTTTCTTTTTTATTTACTGATAAACCTTTTTAGCGCAAATGAATAGAAAAGGTTGCACTTGATACTTTACCTGTGTATATTATGCTTTCATCCAAATGGTTTCATCCAAGTTTTTATTTTTTATTTTTTTTGGAAAATAAATTAATACTTTTATTTAGCAAGGATGCATTAAATTGATCAAAAAATGACAGTAAAGACATTTACATTATTACAAAATATATTTGAAATAAATGCTGTTTTGAACTTTCAAACCAAAAAATATATTAGGCAGCACAACTGTTTTCAACATTGATAAGAAGAAATATTTCTTGAGCAGCAAATCAGCTTATTAGAATGATTTTTGAAGGATCATGTGACACTGAAGATTGGAGTAATGATGCTGAAAATTCAACTTTGCATTGCAGAAATAAAGTACATTTTAACAATACAAAACAGTTATTAAAAATTGTTAAAATATTTTTCAGTATTACTGTTTTACTGTATTTTTGATCAGATAAATCAGCCATGGTGAGCATAAGAGAAAATCATAGTTACCCCTAACTTTTAAACGGTAGTGTAAATGAATAGGACATTATTACTCTTCTTTTTTAAAAGTACACATAATGCATACAAACTAATTGTACAGTCTGCATTCAAAATGAAATCATAATTACGACCAATACCAATTTGCATCTCACAAATTTGACCATTTCAAACATGATTTCAAGGCAGCATTATTAAAGGGATAGTTCACCTAAAAATGAACATTTTGTCATCATTTACTCACCCTCGTGTCATTCCAAACCTGTATGAGTTTCTTTCTTATGTTGAACACAAAATAATACATTTGAAAGAATTCTGAAGAACCAAACAGTTGTTGGTCCCCATTGACTTCCATAGTAGGGAAAGAAATACTATGGAAGTCAATGGGGACTATCAACTGTTTGATTACCAGCATTCTTCAAAATATCTTCTTTCATGTTCAACATAAGAAAGAAACTTATACAGGTTTGGAACGACATGAGGGCGAGTAAATATTTCAAACAAAACTATTCTTATAAGTACACAGTATGTCCGTTTAGACATCACAGTGCATCCTGTAGTAGTTTGTCAACATTAAAGCAAAACAAGCAGCAAACTGTGTCTTGATTACTGTAGACATCATGAGAACTACATCAGATTATCAGTGAAATTATTATTTCTGGGCTTTGTCCTCAGTGGAGAACGAGAGTCACTGTGACTTTGTAAAGCTGAGAGAGATGCTAATTCGTGTCAACATGTTGGACCTGAGGGACCAGACCCACGCCAGACACTATGAGCTGTACCGCCGCTGCAAACTGGAGGAGATGGGCTTCAAAGACACCGACCCTGACAGCGAACCCTTCAGGTACTGCAACTTCTTCTCAAGAAGAGCATATAACACAATTTTATAGTCAATTGCATAGTCGTCACAGTCATGGCATCAAGTGAACTGAAACATCTGTCCTCACATACAGTCTGCAGGAGACATATGTGGCCAAGAGGAGAGAATTCATTGGTGAGTTACAACTCAAGGAGGAGCAGATGAGACAGATGTTTGTCAACAAAGTGAAGGAGACAGAAGCTGAACTAAAAGAGAAGGAGAGAGAGGTAAGAACCACTATTTTTTTTCAAGGCATCATTTCAAGACAATATGTTATTTGTACTAGCCTTAATCTAATATAAATGGTCATGTAAAACAACATTATATCTGCCTTTAGTGCAGACATGGCTTTAGAGTAAAATAATAATAAAAAAGTAATACTTGTCACTTTTTATTAAAATTTAAAATAAAAACACTAACATACAAAACATACTTTTTAATTAAATAACCTAAAAAAAATTTATAGTTTAATAGTAAAATTTTTACTTTAATAGTAACAAAATCTTTAAATACCTGTGACTTTTATTAAAGGCTAAAGCAAAACAAAATCTTAAATAACAGTTTTTATTAACTTAAAATGAATTCACTTTCTATTAAATAATACAATGTTTAATTAAAAATAAAATATTTAAATACTCATCACATTTTAGTAAATAATAAAATCTAAACAAAATCGTTAAAAACATGTCACCTTTTATTTAAATAAGTTAAAAAATATCTAAAAAATATATATACAATAAACCCTTCTTGATTAAAGTAAATACAGTTGCAAGTATTTCAGCACTTGTGTTAATCGGTTAAATAATAATGGAATTAAAATGTTAAAATATTAAAATAATAAAAAAAATAAGTATTTCAGCACTGTAAACTGTTAATCGGTTAAATAATAATGGAATTAAAATTTAAATAAAAATAAAACAAAATACTGAGTATCTTGTTCTGTATTCCCAGCTGCATGAGAGATTTGAGATGCTGAAACGTACACATCAGGAGGAGAAGAGGAACCTGGAGGAGAAGCGTAGAGATTTCGAGGAGGAAATGAACACCTTCAACAGGAGGAAAGTGGCTGCTGAAACCCTACAGTCTCTTCAAGGCTCCTCTGCCCTCAAAAAAGACAAAGAGAAGAAAACGTAAGCCTTCTCCTCCTCCCTTTTTCCTCCATTTCAACCTCTGAGACTATGTGTTCCCATCTCTGGTAGTCACCGTCTGTGAATGAGACTGATCTGTGTCTGCATTCACAAGCGTCTGAGGTCTTTTTGTTTGTCTGAGTTGGCTGACCGTCTTTGCTTCTTCTGGGCTCTGATGCCAGGGCAGAGGATGCTGGGATAGAAGAGCTTCAGTGCTGTAATATTAGAGCACGCTAGACAGGATCTTGGCATATTTAAGGAGAAAGAGATAGATGATGACACTAGTTGCCTGGTACTGCCAGCTGCCAGATCAGCATGCATTTACGCCCCCTGATTAAGTGTGTTTGCCATCTTTTGCACTCACTTTGAATAAAATGAGTGTTTGATTGCTTGAAATATGTGTTAGTGCTCTTGGTTGGTAACATTATTTTTATAATCTAGCTGATTTGATTTCTATTAAACATTTTCTTTTCAGCTAATTGGCGACCCAAGGAAGCGTCAGCATCAGTAACTGCTCAGTAATTTTACAGTCACACCAGCTTGTCATGCTTTCAGGTGAAGGTTAAATGTAAAACGAGCACCATTCAGACTGTGATGATCCACTGATGTGTACTTGATTCTTCTGGATTTACATTTTTTATTAAAGGGTAGGGGTTCACCCAAAAAATTACATTCTGTCATAAATTATTCACCCTCATGTTGTTCCAAACTCGCATGACTTTCTTTCTTTTGTTGAACATAATATATGTTGAGAAGATATTTTTGTCTATAAAATGGAATTTAATGATAGGCAAAATATTTTTTTGTATTATGCAGAAGAAAAACAAATTGGAATTGCATGTGGGTGAATAACTGATGACAGAAATTTCATTTTTGCATGAACTGTCTTTTTAAGTAAACATGAAGTTTGATTAAAACCAGTTAACTTTGTCATTGTCTTTATATTAATACAGAACTTGACTATGATAACTGGACTTTTAACATATAATTTAGACTTTTGTACATGAATGTATTTTCCTCTTACCAGATTGAAAAGACTGTACAAAAGGAATTGTTTTATATTAACCAGAATAATTATGATATTTACATGTTAAATATCCCTGCTACACAAATGCAAATGTACATTTTTCAGTTTAAAATAAAAAATACTTTTACAGTTTATTTTGTGCTTTGTATTACTTCTAGAGATAAATATGGAAATAAGTACATGCGAGAATAAAATGTAAAAATAAATGAATGCAAATTAATACAAATAAATGAATAAATAAAATTTTTTAGAAGAAAATAATACAAAAATAGCACTACATTTAACAAGTCATATATTCCTTAATTTCCCTATTATTACATTTATGTATTCATTTTTATTTATGCAGGTTTGGGCTTCCATCTAAAGGAACCACTTAATAATGTTTTTCCCCACAATCAATTTAATTAAGAGTATATATTTGAGAGCCTGCTGCCTCCTCATAGTGTTTTTTGCTTTTCTTTTCCTTCAGTTTATTTCTTGAGGCCTCCGTCTGCATATTGCCTGACCTCAGAAAGGTACAGAGCTAGAAGATTTGTATCAGCCTTAGTGGCTTTTGCCAAAGGATTACCACGTGTACTTAACCAAATCCCAAAAGTACTTAAACCACAAGTTGCTGCCGAATTCTCCCGAACAAGAGATGCGTTTGCAGATGGTGCTTGATATAAGTGAAACCGGTGCCTGTATTGAACGTTTCATTTACACTTGAACCAGCCGCTGATTATCAGACACATCAGGACAAAATAGTACTGAAAAAAAAAATGAGGAAACTCAGCTCGTGTTCATTCTGTTGTTTATTGTTCTGTTGAAAATGTGTTGCTCATGTGACTCAGAGTCAGCTGCATTAAAGGAATACAGAAGGGTTAAACGAGTCTGCATTCTTACCCAAAACCCAACACAACAATCCTCTATCTGTCATCTCTAGGAGCCAATTATGCAGACTGAAACACCCTTGATAACAGTTAAAAGGCATCATAAGGCCATGGTGGAAATGACAAAAGATAAAAAACTTGTTTGTGTCTCTGCATAAGCGGTTTATCTTACACTGACCGGTCCTCAGATCTCAAAAAGCAGACAAAAGACGTGAACGACCTCTGATCTGAACCAAACGGATAGTTGGAATGTGCTCTTAGTTCAAATAAAATTTCACACTCATTCTCTCACATTGACAAATACAATCAAACTTATATATCTATGAGGAGACAATCACTGTACTCTGGCTGTTTATTTTAACCAATGTCCAGTTTAAAAAAAAAAGTTCAAACAACATAAAAGAATGAAATTTTTTAATCTATATGATGGTGCATGTACTTGCACTGGCCTCCTCCGGCTAAATAAATAAACTCTCTTGTGATTGGCTGACCATTTGTCAAGAGATTATGGCTCTTGATTGGTGGACACGCCGACACAAAGTTACAATTTGCATACGATATATTCAGTACTTAATGTAAATAATCTTTCGCTTAATATTTTGTGCTCTAGTAACTTGTGTGTCTTTAGATACATTCACTCCTACTTGCCGAGTGTGCTATCCGTCAAACAGACCGAGTTTCTTTGGCTGACAATTTCATCTGGCTGATGCAGCCATATAAATATGACAAACACCATCCAACCTAAAACAAACAATCATACATCATATATGCCTGCATCTTAATATTATCTTCTTTATCAAACTTAATACTTATAATATACATCTGTACCTGTATAAAATAATGGAGAAAAAAAGAAGAAATAGTTCACCCAAAAATGAAAGTTATGTGATCAGCACACATGAACGTTTTCAAACTTGCCACAACAACTGTTGCATTTTGCATCTGTCAGCTGTCATATGACTTTACAGCATTTTAATTTCTTATTTTAAACCATTTTAAGTCATCTCGAAGCGCCCCTTGGAAGTTTCCCCATAGTGGGATTGACCAGTTTTATGGCCTTTTTTGTCTTTGTTGGAGCTGGAAAGTATGTGGACACTATCGTCTGTAAAAGAGCAGCGTGAACATTCATTAAAATATCTTCTTCTACAGAATGTCAGCAATATGGGTTTGGAAAACAATGACAGAATTGTCATTTTTGGTGAACTGTCTCTTTGGGGGTTTGAAACAGAGCACTATGGAATATGCAAGACTGAACAGTGATTTATGTAGTCAATGTTTCAAATGCTTATTGGCGGACTGCTGAGAGGCTTGTGGTTTCTGTTGACGTCATTCTGAATGAGGCATCAGTGTGTCTCACATGGTCCCGCCTACTAAGGCTGAATGTCCATTGATCATTGGACAGTCTTGCGTATAAATCGGTAGGTAATACATTGAAGTACCAAATGATTCTTTAAATAACTAAGAAAGTCTGTGGGATTTGTTTTTATTATTATATGACCATATTAATATTCAGAAAACAAAACTCTGTAAGATTCGTCTTCACTGGTCCATGTTCTCAGTGTACATCCTCCACAGTGACTGATGAACTTTGACTGGGAAACACTTACGATTTCTCCTTGTAGTCTTGTATGCTTTTTTGCATGTTCGGTTGAGCAGCTTTACATCCATCCGGCTGAAGCTCAGAGGGCAAAAACTGTCATACTGAAATCCCATAGGTCGTTCCTCCAACACCAGTCACTTTCTTCACCCCTCCTGCAGGTTTGTGTGAGTGGGTGTTATGATTGGCCACATTTTGTTTAATAGTCGAGCTGAATATTTGGTGGGAGGGGGAAAAAAAAGATAGAAATAGGTTAACCTAAATAGGATGCATGTGAAAAAGGTAATAATTTAACCAAAAACATTTTGGATGCATTGAAAGTGTTGTAGGGATTATACTGGATGTATTAAATGCAACAGACACAACCCAAGCAAGACATTTGCAAACTAGGTTTGAAGTCAACATGAATCGACATTTACAAGCCACTTTATTTCCATAATGTTATGAAATGATTTTATCTGCAAATGTTTGGAAACTCAAAATCAATTTTTTTTTTACAAAAATCAAGTTCTAAAGGCTAGTTCTGTTTCACTTGCCCTCAATGCACTGGAAAACTGTTCAATGGTATAAAATAATGATCGATTTTTATTTTTAGCAATGTATTTTATATTGTTATCAGTATTTATAAACATTTTAATAAGAAAAAAATATATTTAATAAAAAAGTGAAACAATCTGGAATTTATATAGCTATAAACAAACACACTTTGACCAGAAAATGATGGCATACAGTTAGCCAGTTGAATAACATTATCTCGGTGAGAAATCAGCAAAATTCACAGCAATGTACAATACCTCACAGAATACCAATTGCAAGATAGTTTTACATTGTATTCTATGACATAAAACAACCCCTTGTAATTTTTTTTAAGCTTTTACTTGTCTTGAAAGAGTTGGTTAGAGAGGTTGTCGGGGACATTAAATGTCTTTACACTTAATAGGTAAACCTATCTACTCGTTCGATTTACAGACTCGTTGTGTTTATAATCATGGATCTTGCAAACTATTCTAACTCAAACTTTCAGGAATTTATTTTTGAAGCAGTTGTCGAATGTTGAAGTAATGCGACTGTTTAGCTACATTTACAGTGACTTTTTACTTCAGATGACTCTTTTAAAACTTTCCCCAAGGGAACCAAGAGTGATGCTAACTTACAGGTTGGTCTACCATCACTGCAGCACTCTATATTACTAATGAAAATACCACATTAAGATTTTAGAAAGGATATCTGAGCTATAACAGTAGCCTAAAACAATGGTTAAATAGCTATTAGTCTATTGGTTAACATAATAAATAATCCACCCCGCCTTGGCAATGTCAGCCAAAAAATGGTTTCAAACTTTTTGTCTTAACTTCCTAACTTTTTTTTCATGTGCACTAATGTAAAACTAGGAATGCAATGAAAATAATGTATATTTCAGTTTCATGTTGACTTTTAAGACATCAAAATAACAAGCAAAATGAGACGAACCTTAGCACAGAGACAGAGTCATCCTTATGGCCACAAGGCAGGAGGAGGGGAGGGCAGAAGAGAGCAGATGAACGTAAAGAATGAGAACAGAGAAGGAAAAAGGACAGAGAAAGATGGAGGGAGTGTACAGAAATTCAAGGGACAGCAGAGTGGCCATGGGTTGCAGGAAGAAAGAGACAGTGTTACTGAACAAAGAGAAGAAGAGAGACCAAAGCAAATGAATACAAACATGAACACTGGACCTCAATGTTCTACTTGACCATCACACACACACAGGCGTGCAGGTTTTTCTGAGGGGGGAAAGAGAGAGACGGCATTACTCACTTCAGCATCGGAGTCCCGCCCCCTGAGCTAGAGGGGCGGTGCTGTAATTCGGCACCACCTCCATAGGACAGTGATTTGCCCAGAGGTGTATGGCCAGGGGCGGGGCCAGGAGGAGGGGAGCCCAATGAGCGAGCGTGAGGAGAAAGGGGCGGAGCCCGAGAAGGGGGTGAGCTTGTTGGGCGCAGGAAAGCTCTGTTGGGGGAGGGTCTTAGGGGGGCAGGGCAGGCCTGGAGAGAGCCCTCCCTCTGCTGAGCCGACAGGAAAGGGGACGTGTACCCCAAAATAGGCGGGGCCCCCGGTGCTGTGCTAAGAGAGTGCGGAGGGTGCGGTCTGGGCGGGGACAGCTCGTGAGCAGCAGACTCGAACTCCGGGCTTTCGGAGGGCGTCAGCAGACTTTCATACGACAAGCTGCCGTTGCGTGTCTGATTGGCTAAACTCTTGTAGCTAGTGGAGGTCGTACCCTCAGAGATGAGAGGCCCGAGGGCATTGTGGGCCGTATGGGCGGAGCGAAGGCTTGAGGAGCAAGAGGCTGCTGCCGATTGGAGTAGGGTGTCGGTAAAAGAAGGGTAGGATCGCCCACCAAACGCAGAGGCCCCACCCAGGCCCCCCGAGCCTGCTCTACCTCCCTCCCCTCCCCCACGGAACCCTGCACCCCCTCGGCTTGACAAACTGGGGTCTGAGCGGTAGCTGGGCTGCCCAGTGGTGACGGGGACAGAGGGAGACTCGGTCATACTGTTCCCTCGACTCATCTGAGAGGAAAAAAGAAAGACAGAAACGGTACTCCAAACGTTCCCAGGAGCTGAAGCATCACCAAAGACATGAAAGATGGCACACAACTGAAAGTTTGAGCAAACCACACCGTATAAAAGGACGTACGGAGTTCCTAAGGGGACATGGTGATGGACAAAATATTGGAGGTTGGAGGACAATATTTCAATGCTTCTGCATTCTTTCCAAAACTTTTGTGTTTGCTCGTAAAAATTATCATGGAAAAACTATCAATGCGTTCCTAATAGGATAAATCCACAACAAGAACAATCATGGCCGCCATATTGAACAGTAGTTCCAATCCAAAGAGCTCAAAACTGGCCACTTAAAAGGGCCCTGCTGAATGAAGGATTTCGAAGGGTACAACTAATGGAACCTTTGCTCCCATCACTCTTTGCACAGGTTTAATTGTGCGACTATGGTACCTCCTAAATTGGCTCTGCAAGATGATACAGAAGTGCATTCCAAGGAACAGTTTTTTTGGTCCCCTTCCTCCTTTTGAAGCTGTAACTCTGGAGGGTAAACCCTTTAAAGATGAAGGGAGTAGGGCATAGGGATGAGCCTTTCAGAATGGAACACAGCGAGCGTATATTTATACGCAAGCAAATGCAAAGTGTCTCTGGGGATGCAAAAGATTTGCACGTGAACAAAACACTGAAACACTATTTATCTAATATTTTATCACACATTTCAACAAAATATCTTATATTGTTTGTAAAATAATCAATGTCATTAATCATTTTTTATTCTTAGCTCACAAGTTTTGTGAGTGAACATGTTTCTTGGGGGAACACAAAACAAACAGAAGCACTAAAATTTAATTTTTCCACTTATTTTATTTTTTTTCTGACATTTAAACACAAAAATATTTAATATGGTTTCTAAAAAAACTTTTTTTCCCCTTACCAGACAAACCTCCAAAAACTGGAAAGTTTTGTGAACGATTGCAACAGTTTTGCGAGGAAACTCAAAAGTTTTTTGGGGGAGTGCAAAAGCATTGCAAGTGAGCATTGCAAATTCAAAAGTTTTGTGAATGAACACAAAAGCTTTGAAACATTTTTTCTCATATTTTCTCCCATCTCATATTTTTTTCCATCACCATGTCCTCTTAGGGGCTCTGTAGGAACGTATGAATGCACATAAATTATGCTTAAAACATCAAGGAGGATTTGACACTAAATTCATGCCATTTTTACAGAATGGATGAAGGAAAGGAAAGGATTCAAGTTATGCTTCAGAACGAGAGGAAAACAGCAACAGGAGAGAGTCCAGCTTGAATCAAACGCAACAACTGCAGAGTCAAAATGACGAAACACAAGAGCAAGGTGCAAAACACACCATAACAACGGATAACTCACATCTAAACTTACTCGCTCACTGACTGCCAGTGATTTCAGATATTCAAGAAAAATAATAAAAGAAAGGATTCAATGTATTAACAAAAACAAAACAAAAAAATGCAATGCAAACCTCAAGCGCAGTAGATCACGGTTGTATCAAAAAAAAATAAAAAATTCCAAGTTTCAGTACCTGAACTTGCCTGTATTTGTGTGTACTGCACTTAGACTTACCTTGCTGGAATGTGTTGAGGCCGTGTGGTTTTTTCCTGGACTGCTGTAGGCCTGCCTGTATTTATACAATGAAGGTGTGGGTGGAGCCTCAGTCAGCAAGCTGCACTCTGATTGGAAGAAAAGATGCAAAAACAGTTATAAAAGTTAAATATTTATTTGAATATTTATAATATGGCTCATGTAGATTTAAAATTCCTATTAATTGAATACAATTAAAGCATAGTACATTGGAAACAAAATACACAATTAACCAGAGATGCAAACAAAGCGGGAAAAAAGGTGAGAACAGATCGGGGACATGCTCTAGGCAGAATTTCTTTTAAAGATATTTAAAACCTCCTGGGGTCGACAGTTCCGGCGGCGGAACTTTTTGCAGATTTGAATGATGACAGCGAAAATAACTAAAATGCTCCTTCATACTTGATCGTACATATAAGAGTAATACAGCATTTCAATCTGTAAAGGGTCTACTTTTTTTTTATTACCTTATATGTCCTAAAATGCAAAATGTTTGCCCTCTCTCTTTACCGTTCCCACATCTCAGACCTCAAATACATAAAATATTACCCTTTCTAGACACAATTTTTGAAATAAAGAAAATACTATACAAAACTTATTGAAACAACCAGTGGTCAGTTGCATCAACTTAGCCACCATGTTAAGACTGTCTTAAGAGCTAGTTTGACCAACTAGCAGTTACCAAGGGGTAATCAGTCTTACTTTTCCAATACAAATAAGACCAATCTACCTTTTCATAACTGAATTTGAAGTTATGACCAGTCTTGAAGAAAAAATTTGATTCACTTTTTAAGACTAGTCTAACCCTTGTAAGACCCCCCCAGTTTGCATCTATGATTAACATAAAACAATGGTTTATCCTGAAAAACAGGTTCTGATTCCATTTAATAAGATCTTGGCATTAATATGCTTCATAACACAAAAAAGCCAAAAAATGCTGTAGTGATGCTGTAAATGATCTGACAGTTATAAAAATGTCTGTGTATGCACTAACCTTCATTTTGTGTGTGAGGCAGCCCAGGATATCTGTGCTCTGGTTTAGGTGGTGGAGGGGGATCAGCATCAGTGGACTGACTCTCCATTATCTCCAAACTACTTTTAGACTGAAGTACACACACACACAGAGCAACTCTTAACAAAAATAGCCTACTCATCTAAAGGGATTTTACAAACCTACTGTTATCTGAGATCTTTCACATGTATGTCAACAAATTTCAAAAGAAAGTTAACTAATTTCATCTCTCTACATAGACAAAACAAGACTATGACAAATATTAGATTAGTGTAAAGTTTGTGAACTAAGGCTGAAAAAGTTCAACTGATATTGAGTATTACAACCAATGTGAATAATAATTATTAGGCTACAACAGATACAGATAACATTCATAATAAATATTTTAATAATATAAATTTAGCATTCATTATATAAATAATTTAATGACCACTTACTGGCTGCCCAACATTAATAAAAAAGATTCAATGAAACAAATTCATATATGCGTCAAAAATACCATTCAAAATTATTACCGATCATTGTTTAACTTTATGGATTTGTAGGTTTTGAACCTACAACCTTTCAGTTACCAGCCCAAGGCTAAGTTTCTCAAAACCATCGTAAGCTAAGTTGATCGTAGAGACCATTGGTGGCAATGCTTCTACAACCTACTTAGGCTTACGATGCTTTTGGGAAACGCAGCCTAGATCAGTAGCACACATCACACCTTGTAAACATGGTAAAAAGCAGGCAAGCATTAACATAACATGCTTTAACTTATATTGTTTATCTATTATATTTTCAAATCTATTTACACTGCACAAAAGTAAAAAAAAATACCATTACATATCTAATCCATTTGGAAAGCACTGCCGCTGTCAACCATGACCGTTAGCATAAAAAAACAAAGTGTATGATAATGTGTTTGTACCTGTTGGATGCCATTATCCAGAACTTTAGCTGCTAGTTGCGCTTCAGATAGAGGTGGCCGCAGAAATGGTGGCTGGACCTGAACCGAATGAGGCTTTCGCAAGCGACCAAGATACCTGTACAAAAACGTGCGTATAAAATTAGAACTTTAATTCCAACACAATCTGCAAAACACATCTTTATTTGTTAGGAAGTAAGATTTGTGAACCTGGGAGCCTGTGAACTACACAGCACGTGTGCAATGTTTTTTAAGCACCCGTGTGTGAAGGGGTTAACGCCACCCCTGAACTTCCCAGTCACCTGAGGGTGAAGAGAGGAAATTTGAGATCACACCCTTAGAAATCAGGCAGAAAAATAACATCATTCTGTTTGACCAAACACATACAATGTGGACAAGGGACACACCCGAACACACAAACCACCTGTTCGTTAGTTGTTCTCCCTCTGGCAACAAGGACAGTGTGGAACCCAGTGAGTCCCGCAACCGGTACGAAAAACAGACCAGCTACACACATCACCGCCATACTGAGTAGTGCGTTAAGGATACCAAAGAACAATGAAGAGGCTGATGTGTATTCATGAGATTACATGCATATATGAGTGCGTTATATACGTAAAGGATACGTGACTCCAGAGTTGACCTGGTCCAGTTGTTTAGTGTGATGGAGGATGTACAGCAGACTGAAGCCAAACACATCCATAATGTGAATAGTGAGCGAGAGCAGGAACAGAAAGAAATAACGATAATTCCTCCTGCCAATGCAGTTGTTCACCCATGGGCAGTGGTGGTCAAACTCCTAAACACAAACACACATGCAAACATGCGTTTAGACAATAAAAAACAAAACAAAAATGTCAAGACTTAAATCGAAACACTTAAAGGGTTAGTTCACCCAAAAATGAAAATTAGCCCACAAATTACTCCCCCTCAAGTCCTCCTAGGTGTATATGACTTTCTTCTTTCAGACGAATCCAGTCGGAGTTATATTAAAAATTGTCTTTGATCTTTCAAGCTGTTTAATGCCACTCAGCAGGTGTTGCATGCATCAGTCCAAAAGAAGTTAAATAAAAAGTGCCCATCCATAAAAAAAAATGTCTCACACGGCTCCGGGGGGTGAACAAAGGCCTCCTGTAGCGAATCAATGCGTTTTTGTAAGAAAAATATCCATATTCAAAACGTAATAATCACTTTAATGTAGCTTGCGCCAACAGTCCTACACGGACGCAGCTCCAGGAGCATGACGTATGAGGTCAGCTTTGCGCATGCGCTCAGAAGTGAGGAACGCGGAAGCGCAGGAGAGAGATCAAAACAAAACTACGGTCACTTATTAGAAGTACAAAACGAGGATTTGTAAAGAAGAATGTCAGAGGATTTCGATATAAGCCAAGAGGAGACTGGTTTTCCTTTGCTAAAGTAAGGAAACTTTGCTTCCTTTGCTCCTGTTAACAAATGTTGGTTTTCACGAGACTCACCGGTGCATGCGCAACTCTGAACTTATACGTCATCCGCCCGGAACTGCTTCCGTGTACAACTGTTAGCGCAAGCTAGATTAAAGTGATTATTATGTTTTAAATATGGATATTTTTCTTACAAAAACGCATCGATTCGCTACAGGAGGCCTTTGTTCACCCCCCGGAGCATTAAACAGCTTGAAAGATCAAAGACTATTTTTAATATAACTCCGACTGGATTCGTCTGAAAGAAGAAAGTCATATACATCTAGGATGACTTGAGGGTGAGTAATTTGTGGGCTAATTTTCATTTTTGGGTGAACTAACCCTTTAAGAGTTTGTTTAGTGTGAACCTATGATGAATGTGCATGTACCTCCACACAGTTGTCACACACGGAGCAGTGTGAACAGCGCGGTGGTCTGTAAAAGCGACACGTGGAGCACCACTTCATCCGCACCTGAATGCCCCTCACCTCCACCGTCTTATAAAGCGGAGCCCGGAAATCATCCTCTTTGTCCTCATCTTCTTCAGCTGCAAAACATACAATCTCATTAAAACTGCTGTTTTCAGCGTTCACATCATACTTCACCACAAAATCAACACAAAAATATAAGAAAAGTATATTTTGCATTAAAAAAATTAAGCCTAATTTGAGGACCACTGAGGTTTCTTTTATATTATACTTACGACACGTGAAAGTAATGTTTATTTTAATGTGCAAAAAAATGTATTTGTAAAATCAGAATCAGAAGAGCTTTATTACCAAGTATGTTTACACACAAGGAATTTGACTTGATGACAGGAGCTTCCAGTGTAGAAGAAAGTACAGACATAGTGCAGACATACATGATAGTGCAGACATACATAGGAATAACACAGTAGGGATGGAATATAACACTAATGTAAGAAAAAAAAACTGAAATTAAATAATGTACTATATACAGAAATAGAAGTATAGATAAAAAATGTAATTGTTTAGATAAAAGTACAGATATGTTATAAGTGTGCAGATATGTTATTTACAAAGTGTGCAGTTTACAAGTGTACAAATTTTGGATTCTGTATATAAATATGCTACTGATCAAAAGTTTGGGGTCGGTAAAATTTGTAATGTTTTCAAAAGAAGTCTCTTACGCTCATCAAGGATGCATTCATTTGATCGAAAATACTGTAAAAACCATTACTGCGTAAAATATTATTACAACTGAAAATATTGTAATATATTAATTTGATGGCAAAACTGAATTCTTAAATGTCACGTGATCCTTCAGAAATCAATATGCTGATTTGTTGCTCAAGAAACATTTCTTATTATTATCAGTGTTGAAAACTGTTGTACTGTTTAATATTTTTCTGGAAGCCATGATACATTTAAGATTTAAGATTCTTAATAAATATCCTAATAATTTATAGAAAGTTGTTGGAAGAACAGCATTTATATGAAATAGAAATCTATAGTAACATTATAAATGTCTTTTCTGTCACTTCTGATCAATTTGTTTTAATTTTGACAAATTTGATTAATTTGTCCTTGCTGAATAAAAGCATTCATTTCTTGAAAAAAGATTTTCCTGACTCTAAACTTTTGAACAGTAGTGTACATTTGTTAGTATCCATCATATTTGTTTTAACTGATAATAAGAAAACACTTTTTGGGTATGGTAATAACTATGGTAACTGCTATTAGTATATTAATATAATATAGATACTGATATAGATCTATCAGGGGAATCTTACTTAATTATCATTAAAATAATTTCACAATCTTTAAGATCGTGTATAAGGATTGGGGTGAAAAATATCTCAGATATTTCTCTTCACCCACCTTCACAAAACTAAGTAGGATTTACTCACGTTTTCCCAATGTAAATTGCATAAAACATAAGTGTGTACCTCTAGGAAAGATGCCGGGGTCCATGAATGTGGCCATACAGAAATTGGCCAGTGTGAAGAGGAAGACCACAGCATTATAGAGCGGAATGGAGGAGGAGAACCGCTCTGACAGCCACGGACATCTGCACAGAGATGCCTCACATTACACTTACTGTATTGCTGATATATTCGATTTGTATTTTAATGAATTTAGGTTCTACTCACGTGAAACAGAGAAACAGCGTTGTGGCCCCCACAAGGAAGGCGGCTGCTGCGGACACAGGCACATAGCGACTGGGGCGGAATGGGCGGGATGGGGAGGGGTCTCCGAGAGCCCCGCCCACACTGAGACCCACGGGCATTTGGAGGCGTCAAAAAAACTGGGGAACAGGGGGAGGCGTCAGGGAGAGAAGGAAAGTCGTCTCCCACCTGAGTGAGGATGGTGTGTAGCCATGGTCATAACAATAAATTTAGTGAAACAGATTATGTTCTCATAAATCAAGGTGCAATTCTTTCCAAAAAACAAACCTTAACATAAAATAGTGCAGATGTCTTTTTGTATACGTCTGTGCTGATACATAAAAAATAGACTAAATTCATATACACATAATATGCGATACTATGACTTTACTGTAATACAAAAATAGCTCTAGTTTCATCAAAAATAAGTTCATATGGCTTGAATGTAAGAAGATTTGGTCAATAAAAGGAAAATCAAGTGACAGCAAAGCTCTTTTAGTGCAAATCTCCGGTAAGCCCCATGTTACACCAAAAAGAGCTCAAAGAAAGCAGCAACTTGAGTTCAGGCATTCATAAAGTACTCGCTCAGAGACAAATCTTCAATCTCTCAAAGCATCACAGCAGATGAGTGCATGTGAGCATGACGTTAGACTACAGAAAAGGAAAAAAAAAACAGTTTTGATGGGAGGTATACAGTAAAACAAAAAGAAAAAAGAAACTACAAGACAAAAAATATGACTCTCTTTCTACAGTCTCAGTGGTGTCTGGATTCCCTCTGGAACAGTCCGTCTAAGAAAAGACCGTAATTACGAGTACAAAATATGAAACGGAGCTCTTGATGTCTTGTGCCCTAAATGAGAGCTCATTCTCCAATCTCAGGTGATCTAGGCTCACACTTTGATGAGAGACAAACTGGCCGAAAAGTGAGCAGAAAAACACTGTTTGCAAAGTCACATGAATCTTGCAAGTGCAGATATCCACATGATAAGTTGTGTTTCAGACGTCCATGTGCAAAAAATGTACGCCCACACCAGAGTGTGTGTCCACCATCACAACTGCACGCGATCCGTTTGTGTCCAGGGTTGAAAACTTCTGGTTGTGGTAACTCATGAGCGTGCAAAACCATTTTAACCCTGCATAGCGTCCCATGAGGCCCTTCTTCCTCACAAGGATTAGACTGATGAGTCTAAAATGCCGCCCTCCTCCTTTCTGATTCCTTAACAGGCCTGAGCGGTATCTATAAGAAGAGAAGATAATTAAACACGTAGATATGAACTCATGACCTGATCTTTCAAATTCTTCAAGTTCTCCATACTGGTTCCAAGCAGCCCATATCATACGAATGATCACATGAACTAGGCGAAACATAAAGCAATGAATTGTGAAAGCTACATCTATGTACACACACATCATGTTGAAACCTGATCACGCTTTTGCTGCCCTGTGTCACAACTTCTGACTCACCAGGAAAGGGTGTGCCTCTTTTTTTCCTGTATTCTCCACCAGGTTTTGTGTATACAATTCAACCCCATCCCCCCTTTACAATCCCCTTTTTCTCCTTGGGTTTGCTGTCACACTGACCAAGCAGTGACCTTGAGCCTCGTAAACACAAGCCTTATTACACCACTCATAATCTTCTTTTCTTGTAGCTACTCCTGCTCTCTTCATTCACAGTACCAACCTGAAAACTAATTCACTTCACATGGGAATTATATATAGATTTGATCAATTCATAAACATGTTAATTCATATCTGAACATCGACTTTTAATCAACAATGAACTGGATGATGGATGTCAGATGATATCTGATTGGACCACATAATCAATAACAAGCTGTAAAATTATGCTAGGATGTCACTGACCCACAATGGTCATTTTAACAATTTAATAATCTTACAAAAGTGACTTTATTGGGGTTTCTTTTAACGGAAAAAAGCTAGCTATGATGTTTATAAGTCAGGTCCAGTTGACTAAGTTATATAGATGAATGCAGTGCATTTTGAGTAAGAATAAATCTTACATTTAAAAGCCTTGTGAGCTGCCTATCTACATAGACAGCATTTCAGGGCATCATATGTGGATTGCACGCACCTTAATAAAACTATAATGCCCAAAGATTCTGTCTAGGTAGGCAACTCATTAGGTGACACAGTAATTCACTACAGCAAAAACACAAACCAAACGGGTTAATTTAATATCAAAGCATAAACGATTTCAGACAAAAAGACAAAATTGGAGTCAAAAACACTACGGTTGTGTCCGATTTTGGTTAGCTTATCATCTCAGCTAATAATATCGTCCTCCAAAACACTACCTTACGAAGTAAAACAAGACGATTTGGATTACAAAACACATATTGCTGCATATTGATTAAACAGTTGCACAATTAACTTATAAACCACACCAAAATACGATCATTTAACTTTTCGGCTTGTGTTTTCCGTCCCGTTTAACTAGGCCGCACAGCGAAGCCTCGGACTCTAATTGTTAGAGCGTCCACTGAAGGAAGCTCAAATGCGGCCATATCGATCCGATGTCGAAACAGAGCAAAAGCAAACAGCGTCCTGCCTAAACGCATTTACACAAACAACACATATATTATGAATGTCATCTACTTGTATATACTCACTCAGTATCGTATATCCCGAATGTTTACGTACTTTAAATGGCTGGCGTTTATTCACACATCGTGCGATTTGGAAACTCGGTTTCTCTTCTGCATCCCGGCCCGGGTCAGCGGCATTATCTGATGGGAGAGGAGCTTCAGCTCTCTCTATCCTCTCTCTCCCTTAATCTCCGTGTCTTTCTACGGCCTGGGAAACGGCTTTTGATCTGTGTACGCCCGGGGCTGAAAACTCCCCAAGTCGTTTATCCGATGCAGAGTCTGATAAACCAAAAATAAAACCCTTAACAAGGCATCATCATCATCTTTTTCGGCCCCAGCATCGTTTAAGGACACCGGTATAGTACATGCAGGAAAAGATCCGGAAGAGATTCTTGTCTACACAATATATAGCATGCCAAAATAATTAATTGCTCGATTTGTTTGCTCAAAGTAAGTAATTTCATTGAAAGAAAAAAAATTGGCATGCAGAATAACTTATAGTCAAACAGGTTTCGGTTTGTTTTATTGTTTGTTCAGAAGGAATTGCAATTGAAATTGCAATTGAATTTATTTTTAAAAAAATACAGAAGCTTTTACTTATGTACATAATAATTAAAATTTGTCCTTTGAATATTAAACACAGCTATAAATATTTTGTAAGAACTTAACATATGTGAAAAGATGGTGTCCCTTTTGAGTAAAGATCTCTGCTAGACTTATATGCTTCTATTTAAGGTCGATGAAACGAATGTCCATGATGAGCAGAGTGTGTCGCGGCAGGGGTCTGGGTGCTGGTGAAAGAACCGTCATCACCTGAGCTTGTGTGTCCACTGCTGTCACAACTATGAAACCACACACGGGACTCTCTAAAATCCCTCTGCTCTGTCCTGCACCCACCTCGGCATCATCATCCACCGAACTCACACTCAGCACATGGTGGGTTAAATCCCTGCCAGGGCTGACTGGCACGAGTTTGAGCTGGGTGTCGTCCTGGGACATACCCAGAGGGAGACAGGAGTCTGGAATTGAGGGTGCACCGATCTTGTAAATACGCACATCTGAAAAGCGCACATCAAAAGCATGAGGGTAAAAGGAAGTTCCACGGAAGCCGTAGAAGTATTCCCGGATCTTTTCGTCCCGTGACTCTCGTCGGCAGTCCTTGGAGCGCTCCACCACACCGCCGGACTTTGGCAGAAGGACGACACGTACAAAGTGTGGCAGGTCACGTTTAAGCTCATTATAGAGACGCTCCTGGTCCAGGACTAGCACAACATCCACCTGGAAAGCTGAAGCGCAGTGGACCAGAGCCTGGTAGCCTGAACCTTTGACCCAGCCACAGGTGTTGATTATACAGCCACCCACACTAGCCCTGCGGTTCACCTCACAGCGCTGAGAAAACACTTCTGCAAGGCTGGAAGTCAGCTACACACCCAAAGAGAAAAAAAGAGACTCATTATTACACATTTTATTAATATGTCTGGATGATGCATACTGAACCAACTTAAAGTCAACATGAAACAGCATTCACAACCCATTTTACATCTGTATTCTAACATACACTGTTATTCAAAAGACGTTTCTTAGGCTCAGCAAGGCTGCATAATTATTAAAAAAAAAAACAGAAACAGTGAAATATTATTACAAATTAAAATTACTATTAATAAAATATTTATTCATGTGATGGCAAAGCTGAATTTTTAGTAGTCATTACTATGTTTCAGAATCATTCTTATATTATAATTCAGTTCTCAAGAAACATTTATTATTAATATCAATGTTGAAAACAGTTGTGCTGCATAATATTTTAAGGGAAACCATGATACTGTTTTTATTTTCTGGATTCTCTGAATTGAAAGTTCAAAAAAAGCAACATGTATTTGAAACTGATTTTTTATTGCACAGCAGTGTTAGTCTTTAGTGTCAGTTTTGATCAATTTAATGCATCCTTGCTGAATAAAAGTATTATTTCTAAAAAGGTTTGACCACAAAAAAGAAATGGTAACATTAAAATAGTTAATAATATTTTATTAAGCAGTATGTAACATAAATACAGTAAGTACATACTATACATTAAAAAAAGACAAAAAGATGAAAAATTTTTACATTTAGAATAACATGCACTGATGGACCAAGAACATACATGAAGTAAGCGTAAACACTTTCACTCTAGTAATACCAATACTGTTGCTGTGCAATGATCTTAAAAATGCAAAAGATGATTCATCATTGTCATGTCAACATGCAACTGGTGAGTACTACTACTTCTTCAGTTACTGCTACAGAAAGTGACTTTATTGTTTTTGTGTTAATAATTGCAGAAGAACAAGACTTTAGAGTTGCATTAAGAGAAAGATTAATGCATCTTCTCCTTGTTATTATTGATTAAACAGTGCCAGGATAGTTTGGAACTTTCTATTTTGTGCCAAGCTCAATCTGTTCTAATAATTTATGGGCCAAAGCTCAGTATATCACTGAAGTGTAAAGAAAACACTCCCTTAAGTGCAATTTTGTCATTACCTTGTTGTAAAGTTTGATGTTTGTTCCTGGTGTGGTAGAGCCAAAGTGAAAGACAAGCGGAGCCTGCACAGAGAAACCTTCTTCTACATCAGCAGGACGCTCGATGCACAGAGCTGACATAGTTCCAGGCACAGAGACCTACAGACAAGAACAATTAAACATGCATATAATGCTTCAAGTCTCACAAGCCTGTAATGTTTAGCAGATGATGCATTGATCATCCAAGCATAATTTACTTACGCTGCTCTGGCCGACATCCAGTTCTACCAGCGTAGGCCTTCGTCCCAGTCGCACAGCATAGTTCAGCAACACTCGACAAACTGTTGTCTTTCCCACATCAGTTGGTCCGACAACCATTACCTACGACAACAAAACATGTTTAATTTGTTATATTAAATATACATTACTATTCAAAAGTTCATAAGGAGTTGGTAAGATATTTTTAATGTTTAATTAATTATCTTATGCTCACCATGGCTGCATTTATATTATATTAATATTGTGAAATATTATCACAATTTAAAATAAGTTTTCTCTCTTAAAATGTAATTTATTCCTGTGATGGCAAAGCTGAATTTTTACAAGCCATTACTCCAGTCTTCAGTGTCACATCCTTGAGAAATCATCCTAATATGCCGATTTGTTGGAGTGTTTTTATAGCAATGTCCAAAACAGTTGTGCTTAATATTTTTGTGGAAAGTGTGATTTTTTTTCAGGATTCTTTGATGAATAAAAAGTTTAAAAGAACAGCATTCATCTGAAATAGTAATCTTTTATAACATTATAAATGTCTTTTTACTGTCATTTTTTATCTATTTAATGCATACTTTCTATTGCTAAGTAAAAGTATTTTTTCTTACCAACTCCAAATTTTAGAAACAAATTGTTTGGGAAGTTTGTTTACATACCCGAGGGCCTCTCTCATTGTCTTTCCCTGCCTGACGTCTCATCTGCTCCAGAGCTGCATGGGTGTTGAGATACAGCAGCATGGGTGTATCTTTGGAGATATAAGCCACCTATATTTATGCAAAAAAAGACATGTTTGAATTGATTTAGCATTCCATGTCATTATATACATCCACTGACATTGTTAACCTCTCACCTCCGTCTTGCCTGACAGCGACACACTGCAGCCTTGCCAGGTGAACACAGCAATCTTAGAGCCTGGCCCAAAAGTGTACTTCTTATTTCGGTTCAGTTCGGATCCGAACACCTCTGCCAGACCGGACAACAGCTCGAGCTGGACTCGTTCTCCTGCTTCGACCTCAAAGCGCAGTTCTGTCTCTTTCTCCAGGTCAAATCGCGTACCTGAAGTGCCAGCGCTGCCCGACGAACTCATGCCCTCCTCCGCTGACTTTTCTGAGGCTTCTGCAGTCATGGCTGTGATAGATAGAGAACTAGGATGTTCAAAAACTGCTATATAGCTAGGTACTTGTACTCTTAAAGATGAAAAAAGAACGAATTATTGTGCTATACCTGTTTGAATTCGTCCCCTTTGTGATTTACCTCGGCAAATAACTGTTACCGTGTTTTATTTAGATTATGTCAAATAAGTTCAGATAGTATTAGCTTGTTAACGTTAGCCTGTTGAATATAATTACATTGATGGAGGTCGGGCTTTGCAAATAATATTATTAAATATACCGTAACATGCCTAGAAGACTCTTCCAGTCATCCACTGTTTCAACTATCTTCTTCTTTGGGTTTTAACGGCAGCTTGCATCCATAACGTTGCATTACTGCCATCTTCTGGTTCTAGTTATTTCCCATATACTTTAGGCATCATATTCTTGTCACGAGTCCCGTTTTAGTCAGAAAGCAAATCAAATATTTAATTCCTTGTTCACTCCTACTGCAGTCCATTATATTCTTTACTCCACGTCCTGTTAGTCCTATTTTTTCCATGTCATTTTTTCTAGGCTCTCTTTTTGCAGTGCTTTCTTAGCTATTTTGTCTACCTTTTCATTTCCTATAATGCCCATATGTGCTGGGACCCTGTTTCAACAATGCCTTGTTATTTGGAAATTATCCCTCCTTTCTTCACTTCTTCTTCTTTTTCTTCTTTAAATTTTATTGGCAGTTGGCAAACCAACTTAAAGGTGCATTTACCGCCACCTACTGTACTGGACTGTGTGGGCAGTACTTTGAGAGAAAGGACAAGGAGAGAACCCCCCCCAAGGTTTTAACTCTGAAGTTGTATCTGTGAATTTTTGATCTATATGACTGCGTTTACTAAATGTAATATACACAAATTATAAAAAAATCTGGGATGTGTTGTGCTGACACTTTTATTACTGAGTTTTCCTCCGTTTGTATTCATTTTTGTTTGTTTGTTTGTAACCCTGTTTCTCCTTGTACAACAGTACCCGTGGCTCATATTAACTTAAAAAAAATTTTTTTTTTTAAATTGTGGATTTAAAAAAAAAAAAAATTATTTAAAGGGGTCATATGATGCGATTTCAATTTTCCCTTTCTCTTTGGAGTGTTGCAAGCTCTTGGTGCATAAAGAAGATCTGTAAAGTTGCAAAGACTAAAGTCTCAAATCCAAAGAGATATTCTTTATAAAAGTTAAGACTTGTCCACGCCTACCTAAAACGGCTCGTTCTAACACACATGGTTTTATGTTTACGCGGCGCGATGCAACGCAATGCGTAAAAAGACAGTATAAGTCATTATAATCAGTAATTATGTCCCCACTGGATGCAACAAATGCCTCGTTTGTAATGGGTTTTATTGGTTTTGTATCGTCCTGCTGGAAGACGGCATCACAGTATGGTAAGGGGCGTAACATTTCCGTCACATGCTTGAGGCATTCGGCCAATCACAACGCACTAGATAGCTGGCCAATCACAGCACACCTCG